CTCTCATTTTTAGAACAAAGCAGGTACTGTTTTGCTGCCCCAAAACCAAGCAGTGGTGAGAGGGGCCGTGGTAGCATTCTACCCCACACGTGACCCCTCGTTCTGTGTAAAATGCTAATGCCACTACCTTATCTGAGCTTTATTGTTTATTATTGCCATCTACAACAAAGATCTTATCATTAACCCTTTCTTAAATAATACTGTACTATTTGATCACTATTGTAAAAAGGGTACTTTCTGCACTATACATCAAGCACCACATCATCACCAGTAGCTCCCTCTACCAGGCCTGTATATCCTATCACATGGGCAACACCTTGCTATAGCACAAGCTTAAACTGCATTAAATGGCAAGCGTACAGCGAAGTACATTTTAAAGAGAGAAAGTCTTAATAATATTTTGAGGTGTTTTGGCATTTAACAGTATAATGCCATGAAAGGCTAACATATAGTGAACAGGAATCCCAACCGTTTAAGTAAACATTAAAAGCAAGCCAACATCCTCCTCAGGTCCTTCTCCCTTGCTGACTCACCATTGTCACAATGATTGGAAAAGGATGAGTAATCAGTCAAACAGGATTTCAGTATGGGCCAGCAACTTTGTAGCTATGTGAAGGTAATATGCTACTGTAATGGTAAGAGTGGGTCAAAGTGTGAGGTGGTTTGGTTTTATAGCTATGAAAAGAAAACATAGGATGACTCCAACAAGAGATTGTTGGACATAAAAGACAATATTTAAGCAGCGACATAGTCTGTTTCCCTGTTATTCAGATATGGAAAACAAACACAGATAATTCACGTTGGCAATGATTAGAAGGAAACCTGAATAACAGAATGCATAAATGTCATGCCCTTGGACTTGTCACTATAAGATTAAGTATTTCTTAAGCCTCAGCAGGTAAATCAAGTTTCTTGTCCCATTCCAGCTTGAGTCATACTCAGATCTGGAAACTCATTTCTCATGACAGCTTCAAGAACTTCAAGGGTAAATAATTAATTACATTCATGCCTAACTTCTTTTTTTTTTTTAAACCCTGCATGGAAAATATTAGACATAAATAATAAGTCAATGCATTTAAAAAAAATATATATATATATCCCAAGACTTTCATACATTAAACACCCTCGCATGTATATTTAGTATGCAAGCATGTATACATATATACAATATAGATATAGTTAAAGTGTACTATACAGGAAGGAAAACAACATTTTATCTCGTCCATTAACCTCTTAACACCCACAAGCAAACTACTTAGAGAACGGGTTGGATTGCTTTTTAGCCACATCCTAAACATGTTTCAGAAAATACACATTATATTTTAGATATTTACCTTTCAAATCAACACTCACAGGCATTTTTCCCTACAAGTCTTCTATTACAAAATTTCCATTTTGGTATGAAATAGGAGAAAGTTCTATGTAAAGACGTGGCAACCTAATCAAATCACCAGTAATGATGGATATTAAAAAATAAATGCTGATAGCCAAATGTCCCTAGGTAGAACAGAGCGTATTGAAAAGATACTGTGTAGCTACTGTGAGTTGTCCATTACTAGAATGAGGAGTTACAGCCTACAGGCTCCTTCCTTGTTAAAACACAAGGTCCATGTTTCCTTGGTTAAAGGAGACAGCGAAATCATCATGGCAGCCCAATATTTCAACATGTAAAAAAGCATTTTAACTGAAAAGTGAAAAACAGCGCTGACCACTGAGACAATGTGTTGCACATTACAAGACTGAAGTCTTGAAATCTTGAAAAATCTTGACTGAAGACAGTGAACTTAACCGTAGGGGTTTGCTTGTGGCAAAAGTGAAACTATCTTGTAGGAAACTTTATTGTTTAAATTGTGCTGCCATGCTTGAAACATTTGTTATGCAAACACAAATATTTCAGTCCATCCATATCATTGCCGCTGATGCTGATTTTATTCTAGATTTTTTTTTAAAATTTTATCTCAATAAGTGGTTATTGGTTTCCTTAATTAGTTAAACATTAGCTTTTTAGCAAATAATCTAACTAAATATGAAATGCACTGTAAACACTACTTTGTTATCCATGTCAAATTCCATTTTTGGAGAGACTGGAATTAAAAATGCCACCCATTGTTATCTATAGATTAACTGACCTAAAAAGGCTCATGACCAGATGACTGTCTGGCTCCTGCTGGGCTCTGTGTTGTCCTAATGAGCTAGGTTTCTAGTAAGGGACAAGATGATGTCACCCAGCTTTACAAAAAAATTACCATCAGCAGGGCTATTGAACTCGATCAAGAGAAAACCTCCACATCATAACAGTGTTTGTCCTTACATTCCTGCAGCTTGGTATGGAGTGACTTTGACCATAGGGTGTGGTTGAGGTGCTTAACAGAGTACACATGAGCTGCAGCCCAGAGTCCTAAACCTGGGACCTGCCTGAAATTATGAAACAAACAACTCATGTTGCTAAAGTTAAATGAAGTTCTCCTCACACCTATTTCAGGATAAAATAAGTAATGCCTGTATTTAAAAAAAATAAAATAAAATAAAAATACACTGTAACATCAAAAGGTCCAAGAATGTATGATCCTTGTATTAGTATAGTAATATGTTTCTCTTTTGTTTTTTTATAACCACATTATGTCATTATGTGTAGTCTACTTTTGAAAAAATAAAGCAATCAAGGCCTTTTCTTTACAAGGCTCATCGGATGTCTGCTTCATAAGGTCTAATCTTCACCAGTGAGTGCTCAAACAAAGAGCCATGCTATCACCTCAGGGTCAAAGCTGACGAGATGCCTCAAGAAAATGAGACAAAACAAATTCTTATGATAGGCTACATGTTAAGTACAGAAAACATGTTTTGGTTATGTTGTGGGTGTGCGTTTTGCGCTACAAAGCTTCTCCCAGTTGCTTCTTGAAATTTGCTGACTAAGGACACGGAAAGAAACCCCCTGATAATAAGGCACAAGAGCACTGGTAGTCTATTCTCTGAGCGCACAATGAGCTACGGTCTGCTTTTGATCCAAATAACATGAAGCAGTAACCAGCGTTTACTGTGGGTACTGCGGGCTGTCACCATCACTAGGGGAAAGAAAGATACTGGAAAAACATACGCCCCGTGTGCCCTGTCTGTGTAACCGGATTAAAAACATCCCCAGCAGCTAGCCTGCAATTTCTGACTGAAGCCTGGTGGCTGGAAACGCGACAGAATGGGCTAGCGTGATAAGGCCTACAGGAGGAGGCCGTTTCTGTGACACACATACCTCCAAATGTGCCCACCCATTGAGTGAGAACAAATGACATGTGTCAGTGTCAAAAACGCATACGATGCATTGCTCCTCTGCTCATATGCGCCTCTTTGTGCTGAAAATCGCTGAACTACACACACTGCAGTTCCCCTACATGCATACCGGTTTTCGCTACACTGTTAGACACAATATAAACACACTGTTGGACAACAAATGGTCTTAACACAACCTTTACGCATAACATTCAGGCCTGCCGTGTGAACTAAAACCTACCTGTGCTGCCGTAGGACTTTGCCAGCAGCCATCCGACACTTGCGCATATTTTTGATTTAGTGCAGTCATACAAATCCAATGATTTTATGTCTGGGACCACAAAAGTCTTCCTCATGGTAGGGGAGTCCACCATAGCGAGTCTGTAAAAATGGGAAGCGGTGATGGGGGGAAAAGGATACAGTATAAAAATATTCAAGCGATCATTCTTGGAGCAGACGATTCCATACGACCGGGGCTGGGAATACGGATGTGGTTCAGGGTTTTGCAGGGAAATATCCGCTCCGAAGCTACTTCCAAATAAAACTAAGGTCCTTTTGTCGGAGGTTTCGAAGACGAAGTCCTGGCTTAATTTTGCCTTAACACCAACTAAAGCCCCGACCGGCTGGGCTACTATAAACCGGACTATTCCCCTCGTTTTTGCCCTTCTTCGTCCGCATTGCCGTGTTGTCAGCTCACTGTACGTACGTACGCTTTCGTCCCGCTGATGACTGACTACCAGGTGCTCCACAGTGGAATCGCTCGTCCACTCCACCGTCCAATAGAAAATAAGCTTTAACAATATGGGCGGGACTTCAGTGTTTATGATACAGCAGGTAGAGGTGTGGCGGCGCTTTTGCTACAGGTGAATCTGCTCGCACACAAGTGGGTCGATGAAAGGACACCTTTGAGTGCGAAAGTCAAACAGCCAGTAACCTTCGAAAAAACATGTAGATTAACTATAACTCACTAATTTAAAATATTTACAAATGTGAACATTAGAATCTAAAAGTACTGTCTTAAATTTTGAATTAGTACCATAACTCGACTGGTATCAGAAAAAAAACGTAGCCTACACAAACACACACATATAAAATGTACCTCTCTGAGCTGTACTCTACCTTCAGTTTCTGTATTGTCATCAATGTCTTGATTGTGACCATTTCTGTAAATATTTGGGGTTTTAACTTGTATGTATTTGACTGTATTAGTCATAAACTACAGCACGTGTATGATCTTGGTTAATATATCCATCACTGCAGTTGGCCAACTCTTGGCCTATTGCAGACAGAATGCAGAGAACATTATGGACTTTTAGCTGTTAATTAATCAAAATACGTTTTGCTAAATCTGCTCTGAACATACAGATCTATATATTATGCAGACAGATAGAAAACAAATATAGTAAACAATGAATCTAAGGTAGATGAAATTAGTAAAGGTATTTGTATTACTCTTTTACTTGTTCCCCTCAATTGTCCATTAACATGTGAAAGTAACGAAAACAATATTAAACTCAATGAAAAGCTATATTATGATCTCATTAAATAACCGTTGCCTTACAAAGAGCTACAGCAGTAGATACAGTATGGTGATGTTAACCTTATTACCTCTTTAAAACAACTGTCACACAAAGCACAAAGACTGGAACAGAGCAAACATACTGGCAGACTATGTAAGAAGTTTCTAAAATAAAAACAGGCATAATTCATTCTGGAAAAAAAAAAATTTTGTTGGATGTTTATAATGAGACTCGAGGGATTTCTTTTCCATCTGCTTTTAAACCCATGTTTTCTGCTGCCATCCACACTGGAAAACAAATCTTAAGAGTGCCTCATCATATGATGTTCATTCCAAAAGCCCTTCAAGTTCTCGACTGCAGTAACTTTGTAAGAGGATTACCTCTCAGCTATTTTAATCTAATTATAAAAGAAACAATAATTCCCAGTCACAACCTTTTGCCCAACTCAATATGTTTAACCCTTTGGATGGGATGGTAGCAAAGCATAAGGTCTTTTCTATCAAACGCATAAATAATTCTATATATTTAATCACAAAAGTCATTCTTCAAACATCATTGGCTACTTACAGTTCTGCTTCTAGTCATTTCTGAATAAAAGAACAAGAGTTCTAGAGGACTATACAGCAAATGCATCAAGCAGTTCAGTTTCTCTTTTAATTAGATTACTTTGAAAAGAAAACAGCTTTTTAATCAGAAGAATGTTGATGCAGGTTTAAAGGTATTTATCACTTCGATTACAAAGGCAGTTTTAGACATTCAATTTGTCACAGCCAGAGCTGCTTGCACATAACTGAAAAGCACTGCCAAGAATGTGGAAATATGATTCAAAATGCTTCTCAAATACACCCAAAATACCACCATTTTTGTAACATTACTAGCAAAAAACTTTCAAAAATATCAATTAGCCCAGCAATCCTGCACTTATCACTGGGGGGGGGGGAATCATTTAAGTGTAGAAACTGTTTAAGTGTACATGTACTACTTCAGCATGAAGATTTGGATAGTGACATTTGTCTACAAGTTAGAAAAGCTTTCCAGAAACTCTTGGCATTACAAGACACCCATCTACTGGTGAGCCTCAAGCCAACAATGTGAGGCTTGAATGCGCAGCTCAAGTTTCAAATGACTGAAGAGACATGCTCCTCCCCCATGTTTTTCTAGGGTAGAACTTCCTGTTTGGGAAAGATCCTGCATTTATTGGATTTAAAAAATGTTTTCACTGTTTCTTTCTTACATTTTATAAAAAAAACCCAAAAAGAACAGACAAACTATATCAGGTTTCAATTACAGTCATTGTGTTACTGCAAATAATAATTCATAACACATACAACTAAAAAGTTATCTTGAGCACCAAGTTTGAGAAATACTGAAACCAAGTGGTCAAAACGAATATATCTTATATTATAAACTACACAAATCCAAAAGGAAAACAAACAGAAACACCAGTGCTGCCATAAAACTACACATTTATGAATAGTTCAGTTGAATGACCACAAGAGGACGTAGAACTCAAATGTACAAGTCTGAGAGAATTATTGTCTAGTCATCTTTAAGCCCTCCAAAAACAGCTGTAGGGACGCTCTTCTGTTCAAGCTGCACCTCTGTAAAGCCAAGAGGAAAAAGAGGAATTCATTAAAATACCTCCATCGGAAAATGTTTACAAAAAATATTCTGAAAATTGTACTGTGTCTTTCACGCACCATCCGGTCCTTGGTCTTCATCTTCTTCATCCTCATCATCATCGATGTCTATTTCATCAGGATTGGCTTGTTTGGCAAGTTCTGCCAGCTCACTGCGAGAAGTGTCACTCCTGCATAATTAAAGTGAAAAGGATTCATGTGCCTCAGCTTCCTTTGGAAGATGAAGTTCTGTTATATTAAAAAGAAAAAAAAAAATCTACAGATACTTTTAACTTAAAAAATAATGATGAACAAACCTGACAAAGAGAATCTTCTCTTTGGGTTTAGGCTTGTCCTGTTCAGCCTCTGCAGCAAGCTGTTGTGCTTTCTGTTCCAACATCTTCATATCATCAATTCCCATCTGGCCTGGAGCAAGATCTGACACTGAACACCAGAAACAGATGGTTAGACAAATGCAGAACCACTTGGAAAAAAACAAAAAACACACAAATAAATAAATACATAGAAAATGACACCTAAATGACCCTACGTTAATTCTTGAGTAGGTCTAGGAGGTTCCTTTAAGATTTGGAGTAAATACGGAGCATTCAACCATATCATTATAAATTGAAACATATCAAATAGCCAATATCTGATATAACACACAGTGATATTCATGTAACTACATCTAAATGGAGCACACTTTTAGGTTAATCCAACTTCTCCTACCAGTGCCTGTGGAGCTTGTTGTGGCCTTCAGCATCTGAGAGGACATAAAGTTGACCTGTGTGTTGTATGTAGCCTGGACACTTCGTTTGATCCTCAACATCTCTCTAATCGTGTCCTCATTTCCATGGCGGATCTCAAAATCTTTCCAGGTTTGCCAGAAATTAGCCGTCACCTGAAACGTCAAGTAAAAATTTGAAGAAATATAACCAAAGATTTTGAAGCAAATGTAGACAAATGACTAGAAGGGGTGAATTCACATACCCTTGGGTCACAGATCTGGGAGCAGTAGGAGTAGATTGCTCTACCACGATCAATCTCACCAAGTTTACTCTCCATGTCAGCAAACCGTAGACACATGTCTCTTGCATGCTCATCAGGAAGGACCTGGATAAACACAAACTGTATGAACACTGCACAGAACCATTTACCAAAACAAGGGATGCAACATGGTGTATTTTGTGAGTAACAGATCATGAGCAGAGGGGTGATGGGAAGTTTAATTTTGTAATGCAACTTTGTTCAGTAATTTAAGGTAACGAGTATTTTGTCCATCAGAATGTCAAGTTATTCTTTTTACATTAAGTATATGACTTCTGATCTTTGCATATAATAAAAATGCCATAATTATGAACAACTTTACACAAAACAATGTAATAGGTTTTTTTAAGAGGCTGACTATTGTCTAGATTTATTATATCTGCAAAATGATAATGTGGTCAGTCATAAAATCAATTTTGCTCTTTAACTAATACGGATTATCTTACCAATTGTGGCTAAAATAAACATGATCATTGATTATAGTTTTCATCAATTTAATGAAATTCCATATCTAGCGATCTATAAATGTAATATGACCTTTGGGGCGACTGTGGCTCAGGGGGTTGGGAAGCGTATCTGTAACCGGAAGGTCACCGGTTCGATCCCCGGGCTCTCTGTCCTAGTCGTTGTGTCCTTGGGCAAGACACTTTACCTTACCGCCTACTGGCGTTGGCCAGAGGGGCCGATGGCGCGATATGGCAGCCTCGCTTCTGTCAGTCTGCCCCTGGGCAGCTGTGGCTACAACCGTAGCTTGCCTCCACCAGTGTGTGAATGCGAGAGTGAATGAATAGTGGCATTGTAAAGCGCTTTGGGTGCCTTGAAAAGCGCTATATAAATCCAAAAAGCTTTATAGCATCACATCAGGGCGGATCTTGTAATTCTGAGTTTCGAATTTAAAAAAAAAAAAAAAAGATTAAAAAGGATAATGCAGCTGTATGCAAGAGATAGGACAATGTTACTGTACCTCAATAGCCTTCTGGTAGATTGCTCTGGTATATGTAACTCCATAAATTTCAGCTGCTCTCTTGATGTAGATGTTAAACATGAGATGTCTCTCCTCAGTTTCTACTGCCTGTGTTGCTCTTTCATATACAGCCATAGCGTGTCGCGCCAATCCATACTCCTCCTCCAACTTGGCATACAGTAGATAAATAGCTGAAAAGAAAGCCATTGTGGTTAAGTACATTTTATAACGGAGGGGGGCACTTCAATGTACTAAATTTGTCAGTGTAATTCAACCAAAGATATTCACTCTTAGCAAATTTGGCTGGGCAGCCATCCAATGCCTGTTCAAATAAATCTCTGGCTCTTTCCAACTTCTTGCCCCCATATCGATCAATAAACTTGGTGAGGTAAGTGTTCCAGATGTCGTAAACATTTGGCCACTTGAAAAGAGCGATACCACGTTCATATGCCTGAAAGAAATATTAATAACACCATTAAAAAGAGTGCTACAGTCGACAAGGACAAATTGTATTTTGAAAATAAGTAGTGGTCTAGTTGATTAGCTACACATTATTACTTTAAAGCTTTCCTCAAAGTAGTTGTGCTCTTCAAGGAACATGGCGTAATTGATGATGATCTGTGGAGTGGCAATCCGGAGATCAATAATCCGGTCATAAACTGCTTTCGTAGACTGTCAAGAAAAAGAGAAAAGCTTAGACTTAACACATAAATGATTCTTAGACCAATATCAAATACTAGTGGTATATAGGTCCCAAACCATATCACAGAAAATTACTGAACATACCTGGAAAGTGCCAAGACTTTCCTCCAAGTCTGCCAGCATTGACCAGACCTTCAAAGACTTGTAGACTCTGTTTTGGACAGGCTCAGAAGCATCAAAGTACTCTGCTTTCTTGGATGGGATAGCTGTTGCTTTCTAAATAAAATAAATACAAATGGTTTCATAAGTTTTTAAGGTGATGCAACTACTGATATTACACCCTTTGCTTAAAACTGCCTTCGTAAACAACTGCAAATATTTTTACTCAGTGCCAGTGAAACTACAGCCTATAACTTCAGTTACCAGGTATTAATTTTAAAATATACTTTCAAAAGACATTTAAATAACAAGTCTAACAAATGTCTTCTTTATTTCACAAACTGGTCATTCCCAAACAATATATGATGCCCACAAGATGTTCCTAAATATGGCTCCAAAAAGGATCATGTGCATGATGTATATGATGCAGATCAGTTACCCTCAGAATTCGTAGTGCCTGTTCGTAATTCTCATGACGAAGTTCCATCTCTCCATATTCACACCACACTGCAGCGAGGTCATCCACCTGTTTGTAGTTCACCTTGGTAGCCTTCTCAAAGATCGTCCTCGCCTGAGTTGAGTTAGTAAATAAAGTTAGTAAACACAGGGAACTAATAATAATAATAATAATAATAATGATAAGAAATAATCTGAAACAGGTAAATTGAAGTTTAAATAATGACTTACATCATCCAGCTGCTCATTTTCCTCATAGAATTTAGCAAAGAAAACCCAGAGCGAGTGAGGTTTCCCTGTGGCCTTCATTGGATCAATAGTCTGGACTGCCTCAGTGTATGTGTTGATGATCTGAAGAAAATAGGGCTATTTATTAGTAATTCTTTACATGAAGGTAGTTTTTTGTGTGAAATGTATATATTGTGACTTGTGCACTGTCCCAGCCATTCTCAAAAGATTTAAAACCCACCTGTCGTGGATTTCCGTCATACAGTTTTACCCGCTTGTGCCACTCATGAACATTATGGGGGTTCTGTCTCAGGAGTACACTGTTCAACAAGAGGGGTCGCCGGGCAATGAGCTGCTCAAAGCGGGCAAGTCTTAGCTCCAGGTCTATGTCATCTGAGTGGAGAAAAACAAAGAGTAACGTACACATGAACAAAAAAAAAAACAAAAGACAAAAAAAACCCAAAGACAGTTATCAAGTTTAACTGATGCACACATACTCACCATCCTCATCCTGCCCCATCTCAGCTGTAGTTTCCATCTTAGCAGCGATCATGCTCTCCTCAAATTGAGCATAACTGTCAAATACTTGTGTGAAATCCCTTACAGTGACTACTGTAAGGATGGCCTCTTCATAGACATCACGTGCCTGAGGAAAAAAAATGTTTGGCTACAGTTGAACAAATTCACAGATAACAAATTATTTTAACCCCTTAGCAGTCCAATTAGTCCCCTAAACCATCCAATGTACCGTGGGCGGTACGTCCGACTGCTAACAGGTTAATGCAAATGACTCAACCTAAAAAAACGTAAAGTAGAGATGTGTTTTAGTTAGTTAATTATATTAGGGGTGAAAATTAATGCTATTCAGAGGAAACACACTTTCTCAAAGTGGCCACTCCTGATGTAATAGTCAGCTAAGGAGCACCAAAGTTTTCCAAGTTGATCTGTGAAGCGAGTGAGGCCTCCTCGAATGATGGCTCCTACATTCAGAGAGGTCACCTTGTCAGGATTCTGGGAGATCAGGTCACATAGTTCATGCCACAGCTGTCCAAAAAAAAAGAAGAAAAACATTTTTTTAGATTTCTTTTCATTTAGCTTAAAAGGCGGGAATGTTGAAAAGTGTCTGGAAGAATCCCGTCTTACTTGATAGTTAGACTTTCCCTCTTTGGACACAAAGTTTTCATCATTGACAACAGCTGCTAGCCGCACAGCTGCTTCATCGAGGCGGCCAACAGACCGCAAGTAGTCTATGTATTCCTCTGCATTTTCTGGAGAAAGCTACAAGGTATCAAGGGAAGACAGTAAGACATTAAACATTCAGAAAGAAATATTTTTGCAGGTATTCTGTCTGAACAGATTAGGGAACTTGTCTATCTTTTAAAACTTTCTTAATCAGCCATAAAGCTTGTTATTGAATGCTTGTAAGGTCTTTTGGATAACAGCTAAGAATCTTCAGATGCTACAGACAACATTTATGCCACAGAATACACTTTGAAAGATGACACCTGTAAAACAAAAATAAAATCAAAAATCACCTTAACATTTTAAATGACAGCTGCTGTATGGACTTAAGGTTGTGCAGTATGTTCTCACCTTAAGGTACCTGCGGTACACTCGGATGGCTGTCTCAGGCAACGGCAAGTCACGGACAAAGCGGAGATACAGAGGCCAGATGCGTGGGTGCTGAGTTACAGGAAGAGCTCTAAGTGCTCGGTCAAATGTTCTACGACTTCTTGTGATCTTGCATTGAGACACAAGGAACTGACAGTAATCCATCCATATTCTAGGCATCTAGTTTAAGCAAAGACAAATAGTTAGTTTTATGCAAAGCTCTTGCAGACCAAATATTACTTTTATGAGTAAAGTGGCTAAGCATCAAGTTCTATAGGAGGTATTACCTTGTGCATGAACACTAGTGCCCTTTCATGACAGTTATTGACTTCTTCATAGCCTGGTTCGGTGATACATTTCCCTTTGACTTGTTTTCGCCTCTCTCTCAGATAATTGTACCACAACTTATAGCTGCAAAAATGAGTGGGAAGGGTGGTTAGACACTCGGGAAATACTTGCTGCACAGAATCTTGTAAAATAATGTATAGTCTATGGGTTTTGAGTTATCCGTTGCTATTGGCTTCTCAGCACAATGTCCACAATTTTGTTGTAACGGTCTTGTTAGTTACCTGCCAGGGAGTTCTTTTAGAGCCCGCTCATATATCATATTGAGGGTAGATTTTGGTCCATTCTGTTTGAATTCGATGTAACGCATCCAGCACTTGACTGAATATGGATTCCTGATGATCTCCTCTTCATAAGGTAGATCGTCGTCCTCCTAGTATCCAAAAATCAAACAGCGGTGTTACTATTGTAGCGATTTTTCATAGTTAATAAATCATAAAAAGATCATTTCTTTGTTTCAAATGTGTAAACACAGTCGATTTGGTAAAACGTATCTCTGATTTCAAGTTTTATCAAACTTCCACATTAGCTTGAATAAAGTTAAAGTTCATGCTAGCTACCCAAAACCTCTAATCAACAAACACTAACAAATGTTCTGTGAAATATACGGTGTAGTGTAACTTACAAATATGACATCGGTTTTTCCGTTTAATGTTTTCATTTCTTCACAGAAAAGGCGGCTGTTCCGGATAACAGCTATGCTAACTTTAGCAAGCTAATACTAGCTTGCGTACTCAAAGCGTGTAACCCTCACAGGAACTTCCGGTGCCAGAGTGCACGAGCCCGAGTCACAAAAAACTACAAACGGCGCGATGTTTGTAGTTCAGAAGAGCTCTCGCGTACATTAGCCCAGAAAAATATGTTTACTGTTTATTGTGTCTAAAAAAAATTCTACATTTAATATCAAACGTCTTCTTTCGAGTAAGTTATCTGACATTTACAGCAACAGTGTCTCTCTTTTTGGCACAGGAAAATAGAACTTTATTAACTGAAGGAAATTAAATCCAATATAAAAACGCAATGACAGGTACATTTAAAATCTAGCAGATAAGCATTGTTTTAACTATCTGAGAAAGTGGTTAGCCATATGCTTGAATTTCAGTCTTGAAACATTTTCTGTAACTGTTTTCTTTAAATCATGGTAAGTGAAGCTCTGCTGGTAAAATGTTTTCTGTCAGGACAAGGCAAATAATAGTCCTAAAATATGTACAGTGCTTAAGCAGGTCATTAGGCCATACTGTGTAGGCTATCTTATATCAACATGTAAATCACTGTAGTAAAATGATTACGGACTTGGGTCTCTAAGGACCCCAGGAATAAACTACTGTAAGAAAACACCATCTTGCAAAATGTTCTCATGATCTCAATCTGACCTTTTGTTAAAATCAAGGGATAAATGTACTGAATAAATACATTTGGTTCAAATATAGTTTTTTTCTGGTTGCACATGAAGCATCTAATATGTTTACAAGGAGCTATAAAAATTGCACAGTGTGACAAAACCTGCCTGCACCTATGATTATCGACTTAAAAGTTACAGAAAGGTATACCTTTGGGATCTGTGAATACACAAGTTAATAGAAATCCAGTTAATGAAAACAGAGAGCAAAATCTATTTATTTTTGCGGTACTTTTTTGTTTGTTTGTTTTTTACAAAAGCAAACATGCCATAATGTTTTATAGCTTTTAATAAACAACACCAGTTTCCCCTTTTTGACTGATATAATTATCTACACCATCATAACATCATCCCAGTCCTTAAGTTATTATGAACCCAGTTAGATTTATATAGTTCTATGTCAAGTTAAAGACATAAAAAAAAATGTGATTCTCCATTTTGTTTGTTAATTCCTCTGAGTGGTATTCAGGCGGCTGTCAACCATTTGGGAGATTATATAGATTATTCTACTTTGGGGACTATGCTACTAATGTTTTAAAATGAAAGTCACACAGTTGATCAAGGGCACCATATTTCAAAAAGAAAAACAACATCAAATGTAGCTTGAAGATAAAGATCTTTGACCAAGGTTGTCTCTACTTACCCACACTATTAAACATGTTCATAGCCAGGGAATGGGAATTCATTTTGGAGGAGCACCTAAGAGGTCCTGGTGTACAGTTGCAGAACATTGGCACATCTCATATTCCTCTAATAAAACTGAATGTAAGGCCTTTTCCGTAAAGTTCAAGTGGTATTACACATTGCCTTATAAGAAGAACATTTGCCAACCAGGCTGAGATAAGACCTATAATAAGTCCCACTCAGATAGATATGCCAATGCACTGCAACTGTATACCAGCAACACATGGAGGCTTCTCCAAAATTAATTTGCATTCGTACTAAGAACATGTTTAATGGTGTGGCTAAGTAGTGACAACCTCTCACTATAAAATAAAATAAAATAAATATTTCCCAAGATTCAAACTTTACCTGAGTTAATGATTTATTGGTTAAAATCTATGCTTAAAAATATGTTCATTGAGTAGCATCTATTTTAGTGCATACTTTAGACATTACTCTTTTTCTGAGCTAAAATAAAGCTATTGACAGTGCTTATTTAGAACATATTGCACAATATTACCAACATAAAATTGCATTATCTTTAAAATTGACATATTTTCTATGAGGGGTTTACTTTTCTTGTTTTTGAGCCATGTAAATGATACTACATTTTACAGTATTATAAATATCTGAAATGTGGACAAGCTATGACACTCAATACCAATGACATTTCAGTACATCTTTCCAAATGGAAAGAGGTAATGGGTTTAAAAAGGGAAGTCAAAGCCACAACTCCTGTAATAGATTATTTACGTTTTCAAAATGGCTTTAATTTGATCTTTTTGTATCATTCAACAAGGATGACATAGAACATACAATGTCCCATGCAATAAAGGAACTTGAAGCTGCTTTATTTGCCTATTTATTTATTTATTTGTATTTTCAATCTTACTATACTTCTATAAAATTATTTTCCGGCTTGACTGATTAATTTAATATTTAGTTTTCCTTTTCCTGTATTGGAACTATTTTCTCATTTAAGCAAGATAAAATCTGGTACACAAAAAGCTGAGTAAACATAATATGTTACAAGAGGGGTCTTAAATGACAAGGATGCTTGACCAAATCGAGAGGCAGACTGCTGCTGACCAAGCTGTTTAAGCCTGTATAAAAGCAACTACTTCAGTCTCGTCGGAGAACTGAAAGGCATCCTCAACAGGTCAGTGCTTGTTTGTTTATTAAACTGAATGAACTTTTACTCAAATTTATCGTACCCTTTCTTCCATTTTTTCAGTTTAGCACTGGTAAAGGAAAGGAAATATCAAATGCTACTGATTTACTGATCAAATAGATTAAATCTTTGATTAAGAGTTGAAATGAAACAGTTGAAATGTTGTGTATGGATTACTGAATGTTTGAAAACCGTAAAAAATTATGCAACCAAGCAAGACTGCTTAACTAAAATTCTGTGTGATGTGACTGCTGTAGGTGATAGCAGTACAAATATGTTGACTTTGTGTTTTCTTCCATCTATATTTTCCTTTAAATGCATCTTCAGATAACAACAGATCAGAGCCACTCAGTCGGGATAAAGTGAGGTGAAATGTGTGTTAAATAACACAACTCCCAAATGGTTATAATGTTCATTAAAAAATATTTCCAAATTATGTAAAACTATATCACAATTAAACATGTCCCAACTCATTCATATTCCTTCTCCTTTTGTCAGTTACCACTAAAGTGCCAAAATGAGCACAGACGCAGAGATGGAGCAGTATGGCCATGCGGCCATTTATCTCCGCAAGCCAGAAAGGGAGAGGATTGAGGCCCAGACTGCTCCATTTGATGCCAAGACGGCCTTCTTTGTGACTGTTCCTGATGAGATGTATGTCAAGGGGAAACTTACCAAGAAGGAGGGTGGTAAAGCCACTGTTGAGACACTTAAAGGAAAGGTAAATGAATATTCATAAAAGATTCTAACTTCAACAATTCTAACCCTTCAACTTTCTCAGGAAAACAGATAAGATTAATGTTATATATTAAATAATGTACTTATCAATTTTTTTATTGTTTTTTTTTTTATGTAGACAGTCACTGTAAAAGAGGATGACATCCACCCCATGAATCCCCCAAAGTTTGATAAAATTGAGGACATGGCCATGATGACCCACCTCAATGAGCCTGCCGTGCTGTTTAACCTCAAAGAGCGTTTTGCATCATGGATGATCTATGTAAGTGTTTAACAAACATTTAATAATGGTGTTTTCTGATCTCTACTTTTCAGTACCGGAGAGAACTCATTACAATGATATAGATGTTCAGTGTGGACACAATGACATTTGTGAACTTACTCTGCTTTCCAGACTTATTCCGGCCTGTTCTGTGTCGTCGTGAATCCCTACAAGTGGCTTCCTGTGTATGATGCTCAGGTTGTCGTGGCATACAGGGGCAAAAAGAGGATTGAGGCTCCACCCCACATCTTTTCCATCTCTGA